ATGTGTATGTGTATGTGTGTGTGTGTGTGTGTGTGTGTGTGTGTGTGTGTGTGTGTGTGTACGTGTGTGTGTTTGTGGGGGGGGTTGTCTATGTGCGTGTGTGTTTTAGATTTTCCCCACAACAGCCCCAATTCCACCGAGATGAATAGATTCAGAATCAAAGCAGTCTTTATCCTATTGAAGACAACGAAAGCATTTGAGATGTCCAACATATTAAAGCATTTTTATAATTAGACAGTTTTTTGGTTGTCCTTGGGGTACCCCTTCCATTGTTCTTGCAGCGCCCCTTTTACTGTGCCTCTTACGCACAAGGCTGCCCACATTGATTGTGGTTGAGCGGCAGCTGCCCACATCCCCGTGTGCCTTCCCCGTGTGCCTTCCCCAGTCCCCCAAATCACCTTGGTTGGATAAGCTTCTTCCAAGCAACCCTGCAGATGGAATCATGTGATTAACGCCGTTTGACCATATGTACACATGAATCACTTTCTTGATATATCTAAATGTCCGCTTCCCCGGCATGTGAACAGCTCCTGCATACCATAATGTTCGGAGCACGGAGTTCTTAACGACAAGGGCCTTACCAAAAGGCGCCCATACTGCCTCGCCCGGTCCATGCCCTGAGTCGGGCCACCGCTGCCGTGGCTTGAAAGGCCATCTGTTCTACTCCCCCGAAGCTCGGCATCAGACTGGCGCCCAAGAGCACCATCCTTTCTCCGTCCACGACAGTGGGGACATCCCATCCCTCCGGAGGTTCAAACTCTGATGGGAGGATGGCCTTTGACTTCCGCCAGTTGACCCGTGCTCCCGAATATTTGCAGACAATACCAAGGTTTCTTTGAGGACCTCCAGTTGCTGGCCATCGGGGGGATCACGGCTCCCAAATCATCTGCAAACGCCATAGACTGCAGCTCTGCGGTTGGTCCAGCTTTCAAGGCAAGCAACCTATCATCCGCTCTAAGTATATCGTGCATTAACTCGATGTAGATAACATACAGGGCCCGGGACAGCGGGCATCCTTGTCTGACGGACCTGGTCACCTTCAACTTGTCAGATCTAACGCCGTTGACTTGCATCATGGTCGCGGCCCCTTTCAACAGGCTCCTT